GTGATATTGCCCAGTATATCTTATGCTTGTATTTATTTAGCCCCTCTCAGTCTTTAATCTTCGATCCTCAAGATAAGATATGGGCAACTGTTTTCACTGAGGAGGAGTTGCAAGAGATAAAGACCAACAAAGCACCAGAATTGACGCCATTGCCGGATAGCATGAATGAGTACTTGGCAGAATACAGCAAGCTTGTAAGTTTGCACTGAATATTTTTATTTGCAGCATTCCTGGCGCCTCACATTGCACGAACTTGATCATTTAAATATCCTTTCAATATATGTTATTAGCAAAATCTGGATGCAATTGTAGTAAACGGCAAACACAACTTTCATCGCCTCAATCAACCAGACTTACATTGGATGAACATGTCCATTGCCAAGGCTCTGGATGTTCTTTACTATGATTACCTCAGCAAATCCCGCAGTGAGGCTGACCTACTCAAACATGTTTGGTCCATAATCGACTGCTGCTTTTTTGAAGGTGATATTGATATTACCTCGTAAGTCTAATCTTTGGTTAAATGCAATTGGGCGGTGAGATGAAGCAGCTAGTTCATAAATGTACACATTATAGTGGCGAACACAACAGCAAAAGTACCAGCAGTCGCGTCAATGACGACTGATCATTAGCAACAGAAGACACTGTAGGAAAATTCTTGTGAATTTTAAATTCTTGTAAACACTAAGTAAAGTAACAAGAATTCTTGTGGATTCTTGTGAATTTAAAGTAGCGATAAAGCGGTCACGCGTTCACAAGAAAATCAAAGCGGTCACACGTTCACAAGAAAATCACAAAACGTTTTGTGGAATACCAAAGCGGTCACACGTTCACAGTAAAATCACAAAAACATTTTTGTGGAATATTCATTATATAGATTTTAAAAAATAGCTTTATTCAATTACATGATACTAGCTAAGGTTTATTGATTGATGGAATACTGGTCGAGCGTATACAGATGAAAACCACCCCTTTCTCTCTCTATATATATCACATACACTCTCGCTATATATATACGTGTATGTGTGTGTGTTTATACAATAATCAACTTTCTGATACTTTAACTTACCTTTTAATTATGTATATTTTTGTGGGGGGGAGCAGCTCCGAGCCGCTTTGTCGTACGGCGTCGTTTGGTAGACTGCGTGGACTGGGCAGGAGCAGGGGCAGGAAGAAAAGCAGAAGCAGAAGCAGGAAGAAAAGCAGAAGCGGAAACAGGAAGAAAAGCAGAAGCAGGAAGAGAAGCAGAGACAGGAATAGCAGAAGCCGGTTCTTGTTGTCTACCTGATAGTTAATATATATTTGATTGTGGTTGCTCTAGTGTAGTAGTTATCATACCTAGAAACCGCTCTCGACTTGCTGGATCTGCCGTAGTTATGCCAGCATTCCTGGAGGATATGGCGAGCTACCCACTGGCCCTGGCAGACAGCAAAATCAATGCCCTGCTTTTTTGCCAGGTTCATGAAAAGGCTATTAACCCAGTTGCCTATCTTTGCTTTGTAGCTTAGCAAAGTAGTGGGTCACGCTGTTGTCAGCACGATTCTGCAATCTTTTCACCAGATCGACCACAACACGTTCGCTAATGTGCTTGATGTCGGTCTGGGCTTTGTTCAAGGCACCTCCTTCATAATGGTGGTAGCCTTGAAGGAGAAGGCGCTCAACATCATCCTTGCTCGCTTTCTTTACCATCTTCCCCTTGGCATTCAGAGTCATTGGGTGGGGAATGAGGGAAACCGTCTCAGCAAGTTCTGCTTCATCGACAACTGGTACCTCGACTAGGGACTACGCCGTTAGCAGTTGGTCGAGCTTCTCCAGAATGACTGCATGATTTGTCTCTACATTAATAAGACGATGCTCCATACGAGTGAAGACTTAGGAGATTAAGGTTAGCGTTGGGAGGTGTTTGGTTAGTGTTTGCGAAGAAAAGAAAGAAAAAAAACTTTTGCGGTAATATAAAAGTATTTGTCACCCTGGTTAACCAGGTGGTTATAACAAGAGAGTACTGTTTAATCACAAGAATCGACAAGAATCCACAAGAACCACCAAAAAAAAAATTGGCGACCAGAGCAGGCAGTGACAGACGTCACAAATTTACAAGAAATCCACAAGAATCCACAAGAATGAGGCCGGCGGGGTCCAAATTCACAAGAAATCCACAAGAATCCACAAAAACCAGGCGACCCAGAGCAGGCAGTGACAGACGTCACAAATTTACAAGAAATTCACAAGAAATCCACAAGAACCACAAGAATGAGGCCAGCGGGGGTCCAAATTCACAAGAAATTCACAAGAACCACAAGAATTTTCCTACAGTGAGAAGCGTTTCATAGGAGACAAATTGGGTCCAAAACTGACTTGCTGTTTGCTTCGGATGTTCTTAAACTTGGCACTGCAGAAGCTGGCAAAGACACGGACATCAACAGTACAAAAACATTGTACGAGTCTGGTTTCAAAACGCCAAAAATCCTTAAGGACATGTTCTGCAAGTTAGCTAAGGAAAGACCATCAAGACTTCGGGAGCTCAGAACATGCGGTTTTACTCTTGCCGGTAAGCTGATTAGCTATGCAGCTAGTAATTAGACGAATCAGAGAATTAAAAACTTATACTTACGTTCGACGGTTTTGCTTGCTAGGCACAGCACTTATGGCACATATACTGGATTGTCCATCTGGCTATGTATGCCGCTTGAGCTCGTTGGAGAATTGGCTGTATTTCCCAAGTACTGCGAAAAATCTTATCAATCGTATCATCGCCATATTCAAGATAGTCTGGAATATCAAGAAGATATTACAAGATGTATTAGAAACAATCAATAGTACTGATGTCACCGTCTCCTTTATAAGCTCACCAACTGTCACTAAGCTCCCACCTTGCTTTACTCCTGTTCCCAAGGTCAGCAAAAAGCGCAGCATGACGAGCAAGGGATCAAGCAGCCGAGCAGCGAAAGTCCAGCGTGTTGACGAAAGCAACAATGACGAAGAAACAGCTGGTTAATGATCAATACCTATTTTTTTAATTCACGTTGTTAATTTTTTTTTTCGCTTAGTTCTTTTTTGTATATACTACCTTCTTCTGTTTTATTAAATTCTTTTAGCTTCTGTTTTAAGGCTGTGATTCGTTATACATTGAGGAACTTTTTAGTAAAAGCAATGTTTATACTGATTAACTCGATTCAGTATTGATTGTTATGGGTTAGGCTCACGACAAGCATCAGAGTTGGCATACAGAATTGAAGTTGATTGATAAATACTGTAGAAGTTACAGAAAATGGAAGTGTCATTAGATGGCTTAGTATGTATTCTTGCTTAAATAATAAGTATTAGAAGAGATATAAAAGTCGACTGGCACTGTTAATATATTATTAAGTGACACTCGTTATACTATGTTCCAGAAAGCAATTTTGTGCATGTGATATAAAGAAGACGTCAATGATCACAAATCTAGGCTTTCTGCGGTTGACGTTAATAACTCTAAGTGCTACATCTTGTTTCTTTATCCGCAAAGCTGATGTCGTGCTGCATGTAAGAGAATTCTCAATATGTATGAGCCAATTATAATGTTACTCCAGGCATATGTTTGCCCTCGAGTATGCGGAGGATAACGCAAAATAATTGTAATAGTGACGCTTATGAGTCCCAAAAATGGACTACATAATGTGTGGAAGTTACTATTTCGTATATCGATGAATTTACATGCATGGTGGATGTTATAAAGAAGAGAGCACGAAGTCGAGTGACCTACGATCTTCAACAGATGGGTGGCTGTAGCGACCTTTTATAGAATGCTTTGGGCACTATCTCGATGGCGATTCCCAGATCTTCAGGTCCTGTCACTTAACCCTGCTGATATGGGATGATCTTGGATTGGATAAGTAGCTGTTTATGCCGCCCATGCTGAAAAATAAGCAATGAGACATTTGTAATAGCAAGCACAGCGTTTTTCTTTTATATCCACTAGTCTTGGAGCCTTAAATGATAGTTATCGGTTAGAGCCCGAAGATTGAAAGTGTATTGACAGCACCACAAATGTCGAGGAGCAAAGAGGCCTCAGCGCTGCCTACTGACAACTTTATATAGTAACTCAGTCCTTCGATAAAAAGCGAAATCGCGACTATATTCATTTGCAACACGCGTAGTACTAATAAAGTATTATAGACATTTGTTAATCCACAACAAGATCCAAGGGAGGTGTTTTTACCAGAGTAATTGTGATAGTGCATATCATTACGACAAATATCCAACTATGTGGCAGACGACCAACAACGCCTAGTTCGGACATTACGATAACCTGCAGTCGACAGCATGAGTGTGATAAGGAATATAGGACGTGGATGTTGATCTGGATAGAAGTGCGAATGCAGATCATAGCAGACGCTAGCTAAGCTCCCTACTATCCTGACGTATATATAAAGTCGAGGTCTAAAATAAAGGAAATTCATTGTTTAACTTACGATATATCTGAGTCTGACCTTTGTTTCTATTGTTACACTATCCACTCATCATACATATTCTTCATTAAGTATCTGCGTCAACACTGTTACATTATTACATAATAATTTCCGGAGATGTTTTATTTGCTTTTCATTTTTTACCACTAGCCGAATAGTACAAAAGAGAAATTTTATAAGGAGAATGTGCAGCGTGTTTATGTCATTATAGTCGTCCTCCTTGTCGCTGTTGTCATTTTGTTGGAGTGAGCGATTGATTTCTGGATACATTCTTCGATATTTGTGAGTTCATGCGTTCTTCATTAAAGTTCCTAGTATGAACTGCACCGCATACTACGTCCCTACTCACCGTAAAAAGAGTTTACTTACCAATTCAGTTGTAGGTAAGCCTGTGATAGCCAGCGCCATAATGCATATGACAAAGATTATCAACTATTTAGTATCGCCTAACTTTTTAAATAAAACACACATCCGTCTGTTAATAAGAAAAGGCGAGGTAAGCGATAGGAGGAAATGCAATAGAGGGAGTAATAAAACATGTATATAAGGTGGGTAAATGCCATCTGTCTGGTCATACAAGTTCAACACCGTTTGTATACCTTATTTTCTTCTTCTATGACAAATTGATGGGGAATTGATGCTTTACGTCGCTCCTTTCTTCTCGCAAATTATCTAAAAAAATTATAATATTAATTAAGTTTTAATTAATTACTTAATTAAGATACTCGTTTAGTAGGATTTAATGATAAAATAATTGGTGAGGATTCTAATCTTTTTAATTAGTTTCCTGCTGATAATTCGAATTTATTAATTGTAACCAATAAGGTATAACAAATTTTAAGAATAATACATCTACGATTGAGCATCTTCTACCCATCCTTGACACGCTCGACATGAAACACGAGCGACCAGAGTTGGTATCAGATGCTGCACCGTTAGCTCTACGTGAGAATAAACACAAGCCAAGAGAGGGCACGTTGACGAAGGCCTGGTATTATCCAAACGTAAGCCAGATACCATCTTGTTTTACTCGGGTGCTCCTCAAATACTAATACTCTGGATTCTACCCTTCAATATACATATGTATAATAAAAGAAAAATACGCAAGGTAAAAGCCAAGTATCACGCCAGATAAATTCCAGGAATCATCTTGGTTCATTCGGATGCTGCACCAAACACTGCTACTATGATTATACTCTACAAAGTAAATCAAAGTTTAAAAAAAAGGTAAAGAACTAAAGATACGTTAGAGTCATTGATCCACACAGATTCTATGTAGTGGTAGCAGCGGCAAGCACGCTTTCAATTCTAACTTATGTCAATCCCCCTGTAGTGTAAACACCTGGATTGCACAGTATCATAGTAGCCAGTACAAGCTCAATAAAGTTTGACAGAGTACAAATCATTTTGGCGAGGCCAAAAGTGGATCTACCGTTAGTTGCTGTTTATTCAGAAGAGTGGCGTGCTTACTTTTCGAGAACAGTTACACATTTCTTTGTTGTGAGGCGAAAATAGCACATTCACCTTTCATGCAATAATCAGGAGAGTTCTCCCCCCTGTGATAATTACTAATTAGTGGGTCTTTTTGGACTGCTTGTCATCATACCTCCCCGGTTCTAAAAGACTACATCACCCTACACCCCTCTACTTGGATATATCTGCCTTTTGGCTTGCTCTTCTTTTGAACTTGTTGAGCATTTATTCTGTTCTCCGACACATGATCCGGCCTACAACACCTTCTCGTGGGGCGTTGACTAGTGCAACCCTATGCTTCCTACCTTTAATGGTGCTTTGAGCCCTATAATTCATGTATCAGCTATGATCAAAAGTGTTTGACTCAAGAAAAAGCATACTTGCTCTTTGAATATGAAAAGTGCAGGTGCATCATGTACATACAGTTGATTAATAATAAGACCCGCGGTATGTTGTGATAATGTTTGCTTTAAGCGACACACTCTCCCTATCAAACAACGAACCTAATATGATAGAGCTTATTTCTTAAAGTGTATCCTCGGCAAAAAAGGACATTCGAGAGCACTTCAAACCTTACATTATATGAGAAAAAGAAGCAATAGATCGAAGTTAGCTTCTATACAAAACCAGTATTCCTCCTTTTTGCATAGCTAGTAGCAGGAGTGGGAGTTTTTTTGTGTGCTGTTACTCATCTTGTCGGCCCCACTGTAATTTGATCAATAAACGAACTGCATTACTATTGTATCGACTCCATAACTTACTCGAATCATTACTGTATCTGTCGGTTTATTCTCTATCATTTCCATCACAGTCTTGGGTGTAACCACTAGTGCAGATTTATCTCACACTCGCAGCAATACGTTTACTGCGCAACACTACTTTTACTGCGAATACAGAAACAACTCACACTTAGTGCAAAACCATTCGGCATTCAGTTCAGTTCTTTAGCTTCTCTTTCACTTAACTTTAGCTTTTCCCTTTCCTTATAAAAGGATTGTCATTTCTTTAAGATTTATCAACTTTCCTTATATGATCCATCCTATTGAACGAGATTCGTAACTCTTACACAAACTAAGACGTTATAGTGCCTCGCCACAACCGAATTTTTTTTTGTGTGTTTTCTAGAAGCAATTTAGGCATATTATCACATTGTTAACTATGTCATTTTTGGCGTGTCTTACTATTTAAGCTTTTTTGGTGTACCATCATTTTGCTGACGACTTGGTCGGGTTTTTTGTGTGTGTCTATTATGAAGCATCTAAGATATAATATCAACACCTTGTTGACTTGGTCATTTATTTATGTATTACATATCAAACTCTGATTAAAAAGTGCTTAATTGAAAATAATGCAGTACACATGTAAGTTTCGCAACGTATACTTACTACAGTGCTGGACTACATGGATGATCTTTGTATTGGGTTGCTTTAAATACATAATACGAAAACTATGTTGGCCTTGTGTATTCCACAGGCTATCAATCGCTCTTTTTATACCAATGCACGGGAGAAATAAATATTTCTTTATATGAAAATGTGTAGCTGGGTCGAGAGAGAATGATGTGCTCGTGAAGAGGTTCAAAAATGCAGCAGCAGCGCAATGTGAAAGTGCCGATCTGCTTATCCAACTTCATCATTATGAGATAAGAAAATGATGCATGTACAACAAAAGCAAGGCTAGGATGCACCTACTCAAGTCCAAATATTCGCCAATGATAGGTTTGACCATCCGGAAAAACCTTAAGTCGTCTTAACGGTACGCAGAGGATATAACACATACCCGATCATACTATTAAAGCTTTAGAAGTATGTAACACAATTGTGGATTGCTGCGCAGAAGGCAGAACATTAAAAAATACCATATTGACCATCATCAGCCTACTAGAGACTCTGTCAGACGAAAGCAAGGAATGTATTCAATTCGAAACAGCCTTATCATCGGCCTTCAACTAGTTATGATTTTGATGAGTATATTGTAATGATCGGCTATATAGAGAGACTCGGAAGACTGTAGATCACAGCGGGAGTGTCGTCCCGTTTTGTACAATATAATGTAAATTCGGGCCACACAACAGCATACCGAACCAAAAACAGAGAAGTGATAGAAAACGGGTAAGAAACTTGCCGTATGCATACCTACTGATCGATTAACACGAGGCTGACTTTGTAAATGCATTTGCTTTCAACGGTCGCTGCAAAGACGGAATCTTGAGCTACATTATCGTATCATTTACTTGCAATTCCAGAAAGAAACCTGTTTTTGATATTAAAAAAATATGACGGAGAAGAATGAAAAGTACTAATATATAGAAGGCTTCAACTAATAAAAAGGTGGTGTTTGCTATAGATGTGTTTTTGGCGTTTGATATAGATATAATAGCCCAGGGCATCACGGTTTCCGGGATACGCAAGACATCTTATGCTTTGTTTTTGCACCTGTAAAGAGAACCAATCATTTGTCTCAAAATATACCATACGATAGCAAAAGAACGGATCGACAATCACCAGATGAAAAGGTAAAAGAACCCGTTCAGCCATTAACACGCTACATTTCACCCGAATAATCTTTGCTCCCATTCGGCGATGGCCGGAAACCGACATAATGTGGATAATCACTCACATATACTCTTCATCCCCACATCAACCGAGACCATGTACAATCAGATAAAAGATCATGTCACGAAAAACAGAAGATTAGGTGACAATTACTCATCCAAGTATATATAAAGGTGCGTTTAAAAGTGGAAAATCATTATCTTATCGCTACCTTCTTTGCAACTCTCAGATCTTATCACTATCTAATGGCTTACTTATCTCGTCGGCTTCCAGCTACTCTTCCTGCTACAACAAGGTAAAGTATCATAGCAGACCAATCTCTGCTTCTTTTCTATAAATCGTCTTTCAGAAAATGTAATTATTAACAATGGCTATTTCGTAATAGAAACATCGCTTACGCTGGATGGAAGCATTTCTACCCCACACCACGCTTTATGACAACAGGTATGCAAGATACTTGATTAAATTTGAGTGCAACAACACATTGAAATTCGTTGGGTATTAGTACTTCAAAGCTTTAATAACAATGATACATGAAAACTTCTTTATTTTTCCACATCTAGCTGCTACACAAAATGCATGCGAACCTCATGAACCCCAATTTCTACAGTCCGTGGAAAGCTACTTTGACCGTGCTGCCAAATTAAGTGATATTGCTGGAGGCACACTCAGCCATTTGCGCGCCGTTGATAGTACCATTCGTGTCACGTTCCCTATTGAAACAGGCGATGGAAAGACGGAGGTGATTGAAGGTCTGTAATGTTGACAGTATGGTTATTAAGATGGGAAAGGGGAAGGAAGGAAGACAAGACAAGAGGGAAATTATAGACACAAGGAGAAGAGGCTAAAAATATATGTGGCAATGCAAATATAAATAGGCTATCGTGCTCAACATTCTCGTCACCGCTTGCCTGTTAAGGGAGGCATCCGATACTCCGAAGAAGTAGATTTACAAGAAGTCGAAGGTAAAAAAAATACCCCTACACCAATCACTATCAATTTCAGTATAGCTACTAAATACCCACCTTCCCACCCTCATTTACCATTTTTTAAAACTAGCATTGGCGTCCTTGATGACGTACAAATGTGCCGTTGTGAATGTTCCATGTAAGTTTAAATTTACTAGCTCTGCTTTCTAAATAATACACTTTTGCACCCATGATACTAACTACATTGTCTTGATGGGATGTTTCTTTTTTTCTAGTCGGTGGTGCCAAGGGTGGTATCAAGATTGATCCTGCTCAGTATACCGCGGAGCAATTGGAGCGAATAACCCGTCGCTACACAATGGAACTGTGCCAAAAGAAGTTTATTGGTCCCGGCACTGACGTGCCAGCACCCGATGTTGGTACGGGTCCAAGGGAAATGTCGTGGATCATGGATACCTATCGACAGTTCAACCCCGATGATGTTAATGCGGCTGGTTGCGTTACTGGCAAGCCATTGTCCCAGGGTGGTGTACGGGGTCGTACAGAAGCTACTGGTCTTGGTGTATACTTTGTAAGCAACACGCAATTTACTTTATCCGATTATAAGATTTAGTATTTGTAGTCTAACAACTGCATGATTTTTTTGGATAGGGTGTTCGTGAGTTCCTTTCATATCCTGAAGTCCAAAAAATAACCGGCTTGAGCGGCAAAATTGCAGGCTCAACCGTCATCGTCCAAGGTTTCGGCAACGTCGGCTATTATGCTGCCAAATTCTTTGAAGAAAATGGGTAAGAATCTGTGACTTTTTGTATAGTTGAATAACTAGATAGACGGAAGGGATGTAGCTGATATTAACTTTTCGCTTTTTAACTTTGTAAAGTGCCAAGGTCGTTGGTATCGGAGAACGCGACTGTGCTATTTATGATCCTCATGGCTTGAAGGTTGATGAACTGTACCAGCACCATCGTGATACAGGTAGCTTCCGTGGCTACTCAGATACTGTCGAGATCATCAACGACTCCGTACAAGTCCTTGAGCGCGAGTGCGATATTCTCATCCCAGCTGCTCTTGAGCGCCAGATCGGTCTGCGAAATGCCGACAAGATCAAGGCCAAAATTATCGGTGAAGGTGCCAACGGTCCCATGACGCCTGGTGCGCATGAAGTTTTGGAAAAGCGTGGCGTTGTTGTTGTCCCTGATTTACTGGCTAATGCAGGCGGTGTTGTCGTGTCCTACTTTGAATGGCTCAAGAACTTGTCCCACGTTCGCTTTGGTCGTATGGATAAGAAGTGGGATGAGTCGGTCCGCACCAGATTGTTACGCGTCATTGAAGAAAATGCAGGTCGTGTCTTGACAGAGGCAGAGCGCAAGGCCCTTATTCAAGGTGCCGAAGAACAAGACTTGGTCTTCTCTGGTTTAGAAGACACTATGATCAGCTCTTGCGAAGGTAATAATACTTTTTCGATATATACGGGTCTAGATCACATCATGGGTAGGAAAGACTTATTGAATCTATGCCTGAACGTCTATATAGAAACTCGACAAACTGCCAAACTCAAGAACGTGGACTACCGAACTGCAGCTTACATTAATGCTATCCAAAAGATCGCCACCTCCTATGAAGGCTCTGGCATGTTGTTCATGACTTAAATTATATAGTAATAGACTCTTTGTGAAATGTTGTATTTTAGTACTCTCTTGTTTTATTCCTAGCAAACTATCATTGAATTTCTCTGGAAAATATAAATAACTCAATAAGCCAAAGGAAAAAAATGTTGTAATGCCAAATATACACGTCCATCAGTTCCTATTTACTCCGATAACTATTTCTCGTTTTCCCCATTCTACCACCACCAACTCAGCATACCATTAGGCCACGCGAAACAGCATATATAATGGTCATTTGAACACAACAGGTTGGCTTTTGCTATTTGTTTCTTTTATTTGCTGTTTGGGCAATTAAATATTAAAAGTACTTTTTTTTTCAGAACTAGGACACAGATAAGCAAGCAATTAAAAAAGTCTATAAGAGATATGTACAATGTATGCATATGAATTGGGAGGAGCAGGGGTAGTATCTAATGGTTCAGTCTATTTTTCTATGATGTGGAGGGGAGGATTATGCAAGGAAGTTTTTCAGGTTGGCCAGCAACCTAGTGAAGCCTGTTTCAGGAAGGGGCTCTGAAATCGGCATATGGTTTAAGAGTAAAGAGCCTGGTGCAAAGGAAAGTGGATCAACCAAATGATACCTATATACAATAGAATCAAACGTTTGGCAAAAACAAAAGAAAAACCAAAAAAGAGAAAATGTATTTATATTCTGGGCAAAATTATTTTTATTAGCGGAAAACAACTAATAAAAAAAAAGAACAGGAATTTTACATGAGAGGCTCGTCCGAATTAGAGAGTCTGTTGAGGTGTAGGTATACATCCGTGCCGTATCTAGACAAAATAGTCGATACGCACGTTAGTATTTTTGATCCATGCAAAACCACTTTTTCTCTAACCCTTTTGCCAATCCAAAGAAAACAGCGCTTACCCTTCCATTGATATCAGCTTCAAATCACCACCAAAGTATCGTGCGTACTAAGACCAAAGAAAACAACAGCACATGATGCAGTTAGAATCCTGTATCACTTACACTCCCCTTTCCCACCCAAACCGATCCGGTCATACCAAACGTGAGATAGGCAAACCGTAGCCAAAGCCAGCCATAGGTGCTCTGAAATCAGATCGGTTATACTCTGGCTCCAGTTCCTGTGCTTCTGCCGTAGTATACATGTATGTCCACACAAGCGGGATACCCGAACGAGGGATGCCGCCACCTTCATCTGAGATTTTTATGGTGATATCCTGTTCATATGTAGCTATGAGTATATGTTGCCATAGCACTTTCCCCCATCATATCACCATCTAGTCATCCAATAAGAAAAGAAAATGGGCTGCTACCTCCTTTCCATGAGCAATAATGAGCTTGATAGGCGGGTAATTGTCCTCATAATCGATTCCAAATCGCTCGACAACAGCACGCAGCGAGTTCTTGAGAAGTTCAAAGAGCATGTGGTTCAAATGCGATGGAACATACATAAACTCGATATCCCCCGGGCAAAACATCTGGACCTCAGGAGCCTTAAATAATCCATAGTACTCTTCGCAGATATAGCGGGCATTGGCAATCGCATCCTGGGCAATATCATGAACCTTGGTCTTGGTGCAAATTACGCCAACATAGTCTTTGCGTGAGGGGAGGCGGTATAGCGCAGAGTGTTGACCTATACAATCATCATCATCATCAGCAAAGATCAAGCACTAATATATACACCTTATCTTTGAGCAAGTCCCGCACCTCTCCTTCCCAATATCTTTTGAAAGAGAAGCTTACCTATAAGCATACGAATACCAATACGTGACATGTAAAAACGATCCAAAAATTGCTGCACATCGGTATCAATTAAATTGGACTTGCGCTTCTCTTTGAACTCCAAAATGCCTTGTGCGACCGTAGTAACGACAGGATCGTGTCTCCGCTTAATAGTCTCGATGGTCTTGACAAAAGTGTCGGTATATGTCGTCATTTCAGGAGAGCATGCCAGATCGTTGATGTTGTTGTAGTATCTGATTGATTTGTTGGGCAGTCCATTGAAAGGAATAAATAGAGTCATGATTTGAAGGAAAAGAACGAAGATGTTGAGTTTAGGTTAGCAAGAAAAAGGAAAAATTGCTAAAAAAAGACAAGATAATGATGATGTGATGATATATAATACGCACCGGTGTCCAATAGGAACGGAAGGATGGATTGCGTTGATGGAGGGCTTCATGGGACGGATAGATGGGTTGGGAACACTTGGAGGAAGTGCTCTGGGATCGCTTTTCTGTGCATTTTTTAATTGTTCTTTGATTTCGCTCGAGAGTTGTGGATGCGGTAAATCGATCAAGTCCTGTACACACCAAAGAGTCAGTCAGTCCCCACCTGGCTTACCCCTCTCGCCTGCCTCGTTCGCTTGCAAGCCAAGCAAAACGCACTTTACCTTGAATGATTGAGCATACCAGTCCTTCACTTTTAATATGGAAGGCATTTCACCAAGGCCATAAGGGAGTTCGTGTAATTCCTTGACGCGGTGGGCAAGCCGTATAGGTAATTCCTCTACAGCAATTTATAAAAAGTTAGCGGTACTTTTTGTGTGATCTACCCCCTTCCAACTCTGTTTACTCTACTTTACCATGCAAAAATTGACTTGCTTTAAACAGGGTCCCTGCAGAAGGCTTTTGGCCTAATAGTGCGGTGTATGTGTGTGTGCACAGACACGCCTTTTCGTTTTAGCGGCCCAGACTTTATTTCTCGGAGGAAAAACTCAAGAAGGTCTTTTTGCCTTACCAAACATGACCATTTGTCGAAGCGAGACACCGGTTTGTGGGAATCGCGCGAAATGTTTGATTTTGTCGAACAATTGTGGGGTTATTTGGAACATGATTGTGAATGGTACATGCACATATAAAAGTATAGAGTATTTACAGAGGACAGAAGAGAAAAAAGCAAAAGGAAACAGGAAAGGGTAAAGGGAAATAAGTGAGAAGGAAAGAGAAAGAGAAAGAAAGCGTATTACAAAAGAGAAAACAAAGCGCACGGCAACAATTCACAGCACTGTGAACAACCCCGCATTTCTTTTTGGTGACAGCACAAACATGTGAATCAAGTCCGTCGATTTCCGAACAAAAGAAACAACCCCACTCTCCTTTATTTGTTCTTTTCGCCCTGCTCTTCTTTCTCTTCGATCACCTGGAACGACCGTGTCAGCAAGTTGAACACCGAGCCAAAGAACAGCGCAATCACCGTGCACGTCAGCGTAATCACGTTGTACGGCATGCTAAAGTCTGGCGTTGGCAGGCTGACAAGAAGCGTGTCCGTGTAGACCCGAATCGTATGACTAGACAAGAGCGAATTTCAGAGAAAACAAATAAATATTAAAGTGACACTGACAATAGCATTAACCCGGAGCTTACTTTTTATTGGGTAACTGCGCTGTTAATACCGCCGGGCTAGTGCGAATTTGTTTGGGCATTTAGTTTCACTTGTTGTCTTTTCTTGAGCGCTCTCCTCACACTTACCCCACGTCAAAACCACGGTTTGCATCGGGCCGGTGCTCAGTATACTTTAAAAACACCTTGTCCAAGTCAAGCGAGAGGGTAATCACCGACTCGGGTGGCAGCAACAGTCTGCATTCGAGCATCGAAGGCCGGGATCGATCTATTGCGGGCTGATAGTACATGTCTTGGACAACGTCCTGCTCTCGGATAGTGCCATCCCGACTATCCATGACAACCACTTGAAGTGTGTGGAGATAAAGCTTGAGGAACCATGGGATGGAATCGTAATAAGTCACTGGCAGCTCTCGGCTATCTCGGTTGTGTATAGTGATCTGAAGTCCCCCTCTCTCCTGGCCATGGCCAGTAAAGTGTCTGTTGGCCGAGATAAGTGGATATGCTGGCTCCAATGCTATCAACAAACAAAAACGTGAGCATCATGTGATCCAGTATGACGACATATCAATGGGGGAAACAGCACTAGCACACTTACGGTACACAAAGCTGTTCTCATTCCACGTCATTCGGATATCCAATTCGTCTTGCACTGTTGACAATTTTTCCGGGGAAATCAATGAATTTTTCTTATTTGTTCAATTTTCCGCCCTTTTCTTTTTACCTTTCCAAAGATCATAATATCCTCCGGATGGATTGTCTAGTTTCGGACTTAATTTGGCATTGGGATCATCCCGGGCAACATGGACCCTGCTGCGATCTGCAACAGGGCACGCTCCATGCAGTACTCGGTCAAATGTATCTTTTAATGACCAATCTGAACAATAAATAAATATATTTTCGGACAATTAGTTTACCCTTCTTTCGGTCCGTGTTTTATGCATCCTCATTTATCTCTTACCTCTGCGACTCGAATCACGGACGGGATCCAAAACCGATGTTTCCGTTTGTTTAAGTTCCATGACGCGCTGCGTGCAGTCCTCATTCTAGTATAAAGGATCTTTCAGTTAAAAAGCATAGTCACTGTCTATCCCAATCCCTCGGTGATCAACTTACTGCACATATGGACTTTGCATGAATCGCCATAGAGTGAAAGTTCGAATTGTATATCTTGTGAGCATTCAACAATTCCGCAATACCCGACTATAGAAACCGTTTCAATTAGATTAGATTATCCAGTGCATTTAAACTTTTACATTCAACGTTATGCGTGTAACTTACTTTCGCCTTGCATGGCAACAGTTTGATCCATGGCGTCAAATTCTCCGTGCATACGTTTTCGTGAGGCAACGAACCATATCGCAATTGAAAATCATTCTCTTCTTGTTGCGATTGCGATACGAATGATGATGATCGGAAGGATAATGCTGGTTCAGTAGTGATCGTTTCATCGATAAAGTTGAGAGAGGCACAGAAGAGACCCGATAATGTGTTGGTAAGTTTTTTCCATTGTGCATCGACCCTTTTGTTTGAAAGGTTAGTCTTAAAGCCTGTATATTTGCGCATCAATTTTATCAAGTTTTTTACCGTATTGAATTTTCCATCCAGGCCCATAATTCGACGCCTGTACCAGTAGACTGTTCAAGCGGATAGCCCCACTCGTCGTACTTCCATCGACCTTGTGAAAACGTCAAGTGCATTTCGCGTACCTGGTACTCCTGGAGCACCTGACCTATTACTTTGGGAAACAGTCTGTAATGGTGCACTGTGTGTCGACACAATGTGTAAGTACTCGTTGATATTGAGTAATAAACAGCAGATAAAAGTAATAGTCAAACATGTACTTGAAGCGCCTGGCATTGTGTTATTGACATCAACGTGTGTCGTAAAGTCGAAATGGGCCAACAATTTGCCATCTGGAAGCGACCGCAACGTCAAATCTTCATTAAACTGTTCTATGGTGGTGGTGGTGGTGGTGGTGGCAGCAGCAGCAGCCGTTGCTAGACTTTTTGGTTGTTGTGCCAGCAGCACTATAAACAGTAGCAAGAGAAATCGCATGCTTTACGTGGCATTGGCCAACTTTGAACGTAATAAGTGTAGTTGAGCAAGGTAAGCACGTGGCGAGTAGACCCGAAATGCAGCGTTATGTGACTCGAATCCAGCAACGAAAAAAAAAAATCCGTGCGCGAGCGCGCGCGTACTCTCTCTCTCTCTCTCTTTAAAGCTCTATATCTTCATATCCGACTTTTATCATGCCTGCAAAACGGAAAAGAACAAAGCGTCCAGCAACAACAAAGAAAAAGGACAATCACTGCAAAACTGCGGCTGTAGATGGTGAATGGAAAGTGCGCAATGTCGCTGCTCTTCGAGCCATGGGCAGATCCCCTGGCGGTTTTGTCAACGATGACATGCGACGCAAAATATGGTACGTTTTCGGTCTCATTTCTCTTCCTGTGTGCGATAGCTTTCGTTGACAGAAATGGTTCTGTAAAAAGGCCTCTACTACTGTATTGCGATCGTTTACCAGAAAAGAGCAATGACTCTTCTAGATCTGGTAAGAAAAAAAAATACAAGAAGAATGGTTGTTGTTGTCTTGGCATATGCAAGCACACAGACTGAAACACAGCATTATTTCCCAGAGCACAAAGATGAAAGTCAGGTGGAACTTGATATCCTACGATCATTCAACACATACCCTCACGGTATATTTAGTTTATCACTTGTATTGCCCAGTAACAAAATGGTGTGTGTTACTGACAACTACGATGTTTTTTTGGATATGTCATCTGTAGATATCAGCGACGAGCGAAAGCAAAATCTTAGAACTCAATTAACAGGCGTTATTACACATGTACTTCGATCCCACCCCAAGTTACATTATTATCAGGTGAAGAAAATAAATCATGCCATTCTGACAATGTTCTTACATTCTATTTTTTCCTCACTTTTAACAATGTAAGTTGAATTACAGGGATTTCACGATATTGCATCCATATTCCTGCTTTTGTTTGGAGAAAAAGAGGCGGGGGTTTTGATGCAACAAGTCTCTTTATTCTTCATTCGATATCCTTTCCTTTTGTCGTTGACTATTTACTAACGAGTAGCACTGTTGTTGGCGATGAGTGGTGTACAAAAAGAAGCATTTGAGACTACTCAGAATGGAAACTAGACAATGTATACATACCTTAACTCAATGGCAACACAGACGCAATGCTAGATTCACTAGATCCGATACTTCGGGAAATCACAATGATCGATACTATTGTCCAACACGAAGACCCAACATTGCATATGCATATGACTGAGTAAGAAAATAATGATGGCGGAGAGAAGGGGGCCGAAAACCGAAAGGAAGGAGGGTTATCTCTACTACTGTAACTACTATTATCTCTTACTAACTCAATATGATCGTTGTTAAAATGAATCAGAGCAGGTGTACTCCCTTATTACTGTCTTAGCTGGGTAATTACGTGGTTTAGCCATGATATTGACGATGTTTCCAAAATTGTCCGGTTATTCGATCTATTTTTATCATCGAATCCTTTGATGCCTCTCTATGTGTCAGCAGCCCTTGTCCTTGCGCGCCGGAAGCTTGTCTTGTCGCAACCGGCGGATCCGAGTATGATCCACACTCTACTCACCAAAGTACCACGTAACGTTAACGTCGAGATGTTGATCAAGCGCGCAATTGAGCTCGAAAGGGCATATCCCCCTCACGAATTACAACAGCTGAGCGGCGTGGGACTCGACCAAGAGTCTTGTGTAAACACACACAAGGAGTTGTGGCTGGATATGGCATTGCTGAATAAGGATAGTAGCGAAAAATTGGAGGCAATGCGGCATAAGGCGGAGGAGATACTAAGCATGTCCGGGGAAGAACGGACACCGATACCTATCGATCCTAAACGCGCGATGGCGGCAGCGTCGTCCAAGCCAGGCCATTATTACGGTAGAAAACTGTTGGGTAGGATGAGAGAGATGTATGCTCAAGATCCCATGCTCTGGACGACTGTTCTTTTAAGTGCAGGCGTCGTTACTTTTGCAATGGCAACAGACCAGCTAGGCTTAGTCAGGTGAGTGTGCGTGTGTGTAATGGTGTGTCCTTGAACAAAAATCTATGTTTTGGGTGTGTGAGAAAAATCTTGTGTCTGCAGCACACAATGGCTTATTGCATGAGGGAATGATGGCTAACGTTTTCCCACTTGTATCGTAAACAGAGAATGGCTATCCTCCATTTGATAAGTGGTGTACTGTATCAAGAAGTATTATTATGTCCGCTCTCACTGTCTCCCTTCTCTCCCCTTTGTTGTTTCTCCGCCCCGCCATGTATTATAGATCGTATTATTAATGAAAAGAACAAGAGAGAATAAGGCATCTGATGAATGGGCCGAGTTGCCTTATTCTCTTTGATATCCCGATTGTGATGATGAAAGTGAAAAGAAGCTGCGCGTTTGGAGTACCAATTAGGGTCAGACATGTTGTGTCCAGATACGTGCTACCGAAGGAGTTACACCATCCCTTGTCGCACAAAGGATTAATTTTTTTTTTCTTTTTCCACGTTTCGTTTTGACAGTTGAAAACCGCGCACGTCGAGCTATTTTTGTAGAGTTTCATAACTCCTCTCTTGTACGTGCGTGGGGTGCATAGGCTACTAGCCTTTTGCCTGAACAGCGTTTAATCTTAATGTGACGAATGCTGCGTATGTGCCCTCTGTATGGCTGTGCGTATTGTGAACGTGGACGATGAAGAAGGGAGAGGGAGAGGCTACTTGATCGAACGACCAAGAGCCCAGGTTCTATATAACCGATCCACTGGAAGAAAAAGCGCAATTTATCATCACGCTTCTTTCCCTTCTCTCACGTCCATCCCTCTTTTCTCTCTTTTGTATTTTTTTTTTCACACGTAAAAGAGCGCATACCCCATCACGTTCTTTTTTTGTTCCTTCGTCTCTCTCTCTCTCTCTCTCTTTTGCACCCACTACCTTCATTACATCACACACACACTCACCCTTGCATATCATCATCCCGCTACTATCGGCTACCAATACCACTAAGAACAATGGGAAACAAGATCTCTACTTCGCGCAGAAGTCGCCTTTTATCTACCTTCTCGACCAAGCATTCGACGTCAAAACGGAAAAAGCACCTTTCACCGACACCGCCTCCGACCACTTCCTCAACAACTTACTCGAAATCAGGGTCCATTAACTCAAACCATTCCGTCTCAGACAGCATTATTCGACAAGGTCGCGCTTTTCACAATGTCAGCGAGTCCATTTACTGGCTTCCTAACGATGACGAAGAAATTGATCGTTTAGTCGGTGTAGGTGTTTTTCTGGTTTCCACCCCCTCTATATAACCATTGGAGAAGCTAAAACCTATATTATTTTAATCCCATTAGCAACACTTTGCCTTGAAAACATTGTTCGAGGGGTAAGTCTACTTTATGCGTACACAGACAACAGCTCATGCATGCAGTCGTCATGGAAACTATGCAACCACGTTTCCATGGAGAAATTAATTGACGCTCTCCCCTCTCTTTCTCTCCTTTCTCTCGCAGCAACGTTGCAAAGGAGATACTGCCGACACTCGAAAACGGCGCCAAAATTCTAGGTAAGCTTCATTTTTTATTTGCTCTGTGATGTTTTCTTCGTTAGAACAACGAATAGGGTCACTGAACAAAGCTTTTCAATTTTTTTACGGGTTCGTTGTAATACAGACGTAGGCTGTGGCCCCGGCACTCAGATCATGGTAATATTAAAAAAACAGCATATATCGTGTAATGTTGTGCACATTTCCTTATACAAACAATTTATATGGTGACATGGATAAATAGGATTTGGCAACCGAGTTCCCAGATTGCGAGCTTTTTGGAGTCGATTTCTGCGATGTGTTCCCAAGCGATATACGGCCGCCCAACGTCCAATTCTTGCACGCCAATGTTCTAGAACGTCTACCCTTTGATGACAACACATTCGACTTTGTCAATATGCGATTTTTCATGCTGGCTCTACGTCAAGAAGAATGGGTCATTGCATTGAAAGAAATCCATCGGGTCTTGAAACCTGGCGGTTATTTCCAATCACTCGAAGCCGGAATGATGGTTTGTGTCTGAAAATAGTATAACGCAGAAAAAGGAAGGTTGTAATTTATTAATACATGTGGCTCTTTCATACAGGATCGCGGAAATGATTTTTGCCTTTGGGTTGGCGATATCTGTAAGGACAGCACTAGACCTATGTATCATTACGCACTATGCACACCCCAACAAGACTTCCGCCTAAACATTTTTGCACTGTCACTTTTTTTTTTTATAGTCATGAATGTGATGCGGGAACGTGGTCAGGAGCCATACATTGCATTTAAGATTGGATCGATTATGGAAGAATGTCAGATAAAACATATCAAGAGTGACCAACGGGACACGTACCTCAGTAAGTAAAAAGCATAATTATCAATTACCGTAGACATCGAGTTACTAGGTGTTCTGTCTGCTGCTGTGCCCATAGCGTCACCGTCGTTATCAGTATTCGTGTTCTTATGAGAAACTGCTATTTGCGAATTCTAGGCAAACCAGACCCTCTGAATCGCGAGTTTTTATGGGATATTGTCAACATTGTCCGATCCGCACAACCCTTTTTGACAGGTCCTTTGGGCGTAAGTCCCGAGAACTTTCAACAATTCCTTCAAAAGTTTGAGCACGAGTGTAAACAACCTCCTGGAGCACAATGGCTGATTGCAGTAAACGTCGGACAGAAGCCGCTTTAAATTACTCACCTCCCAAGTCCCTCCTTACCATGCTGCACTTTTTCATGCTCCCTCTCCCTCTCTCTCATTCGTTTCAGCTCACTACTACTTATCAATTTTTTTCTCTTACCTTATTCTCTCTGCACATATTTTAAAAACACTCTTGCCTCTTTCCTCAAACACTACTATTGATACTTTTCCAGTAACTGCTAATTTTACGTACATACTATTACACTAAGATCAACGACGTGAAGACCCTGAATTTGCTTTTGGTCATGCCCTCAACCACCCACCCCTTTTTCTACAATCAGCAGTCTATACATCTTGCACTGCTCAACGAGCTTTTGATATATTTTTCCATTGTTCAAATAATTCCCAAAAAGTGATAATCTTCAATAGATATATCAATGAAGAAGTAAATATTAGATATTCTTCATTGAAGAACCTTGTTTTTGTTCCGAACGTGTCGTCTTTATAAAGCTACATATTCATTTTACCGTTGCATGTTTTCATGGGAGTCCCAGTAAACCATAAGGTACTGTATGGTGCTGTAGTGAAGAAGGAAAGATACTAACTCAATGAACTACTTTAGTTTCCATTACAAAGTATGTAGTTGTTAGGTAAAATAAAGATGATAAAGAAAGTGAATGCATCAAGTGCTTCAATTGTGTATATGTAAGTGCATCTTTCTGTTATTGTGTATTTTGCTGCTATCAGTGCGTAGTTCTACACCACAGTTAATAGAGAATCATCAGTATTTCGTATATATGCTATTGCTCATCATTGGTGATTTTATACCCTAACTGCATAATGGCCGAAATGGACCTGAGGAAATAACAGAAGCTCTTCCAGTGAGTTGATGAGTGTACCATCGGATACACGGGAGCAATAGCAAGGTCCATTCTGAGTGTGATGACCTATATTCGTGCATTACATCACCACACATGTAGGAATATCTTACATGCTTCTCATAAGCGTGTTGTATATCAGAATGATTTCCTTCCCTAGCTTTACTTAATCCGACTTAACTCGAACGTGCCGCTTAAGGGTTTGACGACGGCAAAAAGGGTACCCGAATATGAAGGGCTTCTATCATATTTTTTTATTCAATTCAGATAGATTTAACGCAGAACATGTGCTTTTTCTTTTGAATTTGAAACCCTGTTCTTATTTGCTTTTTAAAGCTTTGACGAGACTTAGCAGAGCTGCTTATATTACGCATACATATGAGAAAAGAAACAATAATTTGGAATAAGAAAGCTTTACGGATTTAGCTTAAATGTTACTATTACAGCACTTTGAGTACATAGTTCATATAAATAAATACTTCTGCTAGATCGAGAGGAGATTACAGTGTGTCTGCTACATTATCATTGAAAAGTATATCGAACGAAGGTCCATGAAAGAAAGGACGTTTTTCCCATTGATAATGAGATGCAAGAAATATAGCGCATAATACGTCTCGTCGCAGTCTTTCTTTAGCAAAGAATAAAGTCTCTAGTCACTGTGAACTCTTCAATTACAATAACATCACGGATACGATACATACTTACACATCCTTCTCTCAGCACTTGTTTCTGGCTCTTCCCGTCTTGGTTCTGCGCACATACTAATACCCAATTTTGCATCCTATCGTCGCTTCTGAACGCTTTCGTTATTATCTCTACTACATTATTAATTCATTGCTCGCATCCGATGCTTCACGGTAGGTCCATCTAAATCGAAAACACCGTTGGTCAGTAGTAAATAGTTATCATGCATGTATCAAAATAGAGTATTTTATGGACCAGTCAAAATCTTGAAGACTCCGCACGACGCGCGTGAAGCTTTCATTACGATTCGGTTCAATTGGACATAACTCACTTTTTGTTTTCTGCTGCGCCCTTTCTCTGCACCCACCCTTTGATTCATACGTAATGTCTGACCGACAACAGCAACAACAGCAACGACGTACTCAAAGCGGACAAGCCCCTGACAATGCGCAAACCATGCGGGCATCCTCCGGAAGACCACAACAACAGGAACAACAGCAGCAACAACAAGACCCGCAACTAACCGACGAAGTCCTCGCGTTCATTACTTCTGTCGAAGAGCAAGACACTGATCAAATGAAGTCATTGGCGACAAAATTGATGCAACTTTCCGAGCCGCAATATCAATCAGCGACTACGGGCAACCTGGATCCACTTACAGTGCTGGATCCTGCTGAGAATAGTCTCGGATTCCTGTTTTTCCTGCAAGTATCTTGAATAACTTCATGGATGACGACTCAACGAAAAAGCTAGTACGCGCACAAAAAGAAAACTAAAAGGCATTAATTCTATAAATATAGTACGGCTCGCTGTGCTGCTGTCACTGATGCCGATGTTGCCCAATTCCTCGTCCAAGCTGTTGATCACTTTGTACGTGTGTTTAAACCCGCGCAGCTGATGTATGCACCCGCAAGAAGTAAGTGCTGCACAATACAATCAATTAACCTAATAGATACGGAAATTCATCCATGTGGGTACCAATATGCTTTTATCAACTACTAGTCACCCATATTGCTCATGCTTTGGAAAATCTGTCCAAGGTGCTTCGAAACGTAAGGAAATATATATCTATATTTACAGTTAATGAAGTTAAGGCGCTAATGATCGATCCATTTACTCTGCATATAGCCGGTCATTCCTATCGTACCGCTTATGATTGCCATTGAAAGACTCACGCCTGAGAAGAATACACTGACGTCATTGCACGCTCCACTTGCAAAGGTGAATTAGCAAATTGCGTCGATTTTTGGATATGGGCTTAAACGACTTATTATCTTTTCATTATATAACAGGCGTCTGTGCTGGCCAAAATGTATCATCAACCATTGGAAGTGCTGGATTATGATATCGAGAACGTGAATCCTACAGTAAGCTTTTGATATGGGAATTGTATGTTGGAGAAAAAAGTAGTTAACAACCCTGTTTGTTTCGTAAGGATTATGATATCTCGATCAAGAGCTTCTTGTTATACCACTATTACAGCGCCATGATTTACATTGGCAACAAGAGCTTTGAGCGTGCTATTGAATTTCTGGTTTTGGTAAAGTTTCAACCTTTTTACGTCATATTGAAAGGGAGGAAATATTGAGCAGTATATGTCCATCCATCCTGTTTAGGTCATCTCGGCACCTGCTCAAGTCATTAGCGCAATCCAAGTCGAGGCTTACAAAAAGTATATTCTCACGTCTTTGATCCATTACGGTCGAGTAAGTCAATTAATTTAAATGAGCATACAGGAGGCAAGAATGAGGGCTCGCGTCACTGAGATTTGTATCTACACGTAACACTATTCTCAGGTTCCTCCGTTACCACGATATACATCAGTTATTCTGGAGAAACACTTCAAGAGCAAGTATCCTGTATACACTGAAATCGCAGATGCGTTCCAAAATGGCCTTCCTCAACTCAGAACTGCGGTGGACACGCATCGGGAAGCACTCACAGAGGTAAATGTGTGGTCTGTTTCGCTATATCGTAGCCATAAATAGAGAAACTCATATGAAAATTCTAAATTAAATGTAGGACTCCCATATGGGCTTAGCCAAACAGTGTATCGAAGCACTTCGTCGCAAAACAATTAGACGGTTAGGCGACGTTTATGTTACTTTGACGATGGGTGAAATGATGACTTTGCTTGCTGAAAAGGAGAAGCGAGACGTGGATGAAAGGGAGCTCGAATGCATGCTCGTTGCAATGGTAAATACCTTCATCCTCCCTCTTCTCTTCTTTTCCTCTCTATACTACAACAGTTTAATCATTTATGTGGGCAATTTTTACAGATTGAGAATGGCCAAATCTCTGCCAGCATATCTTGTATCTTGAACGATGCAGGTCAGGTTATCAAAATGGTTCATTTTGTGGAAGAAGAAGACAGTGGCATACCCGTGAATTTTGAAAGCCGGATCACAGACGCTACCAACTTGCGAAAGAAGGTTTCTACTATGGATAAGGCAGAAGGTTTGAGCAAAGAATTTCAAAGTAAAGTAAGTAATATTGTATAATTCGTTATCAGCTAGATTTGGATAGCGTTTAATGATATTATTAATCACGGTATATTGTATATAGTACATGATGATCAGCTCGCACGGTGAGCATTTCCCGGTGCCGATGGCATATGATGAGGATATGGATCTGCCTCTGGTTGATGATTCAAAATTGTTCTCATAAATGTAGGATGACTTGCAACAAAACAAAAATGCATACTACTCCTTCTTGCTTGGCTCATTAAATGCAATTTTCCCTGTTTTCCCACCTAGTAAGAAAGTATAAGGATTAGCGTACAGATTATATATAAAATGCCATAGTATGATGATGATTCCCCGCCCTCCGGCTCCCTTTACAAAATAAACAAGAAATTGTACATACTCTCACTAAGTGGCGGTGCCTTTACAGGTTTCTTTCTCTCGTTTTTCTTTTTGTTTTGTAGCCGTATTACGGAGACGGGTACTGGGGAAATATGCACAAGATATGTGGAGATAGAGCCCATTAGAAGTCTAAAGTGGAAGAATTACGTTAGGCGATTGGATGGATACGAAGGAAAGTATTGTCTATGTAAATACTTTACGTACCCTTTGACTGTTCCTCGACCCTTGCTACCACATACTACCATTGTCAACGGCAACTGTTGAATCTAATAGAACGACAAACAGTTGATTTAAACTTTTGTGGCACATCCTATTTCTACAGATTATGTCATCTTGCATGTGTGGAGCATCTATTACCTGAGTGGTTAAAACATCCTTAACTCGTCCAACGGCAGCACATGTGATGAGCGTAATATCAAAAAGCAGCATCTGATTTAATATTTTCCTTGCTTCTTTCGTCAGGGTCTCTGACGCTTTCTCCAACTGTGTAGCACATATTTGAAAAATAGAAATTTTAATTTTACAAACATGCACAAAATGTGTTCTTTTTTCTTCTCGCCCACCTAGTCCAATCTCTTTTCAAACATGATCCCTCTACTTACCTCCTTGGCCACTGATAAACCGGCAGCTTTAACAGTATCCGGATTATCCTCGCGATTCACAACCGTCAAGACATACAAACTATCTCCATCTCGCATCATCGTACCCATAGCCCATTCCAGCGCATAAAGACTTTCTTCACTGAAGTCGCACGCAGCTAGATACAACCGCCGTTTCCGCGGTGAGTCGTTTACTACACCATAACGACTGGTAACAATAATCCGATCGCGTTTGCGTTCTGTTACGGGTGGATCCGTGAAGACTAGCAGGTTCCGCCGTTTCAAAGACGCGCTTCGCTGCCGCACTAATGGATCGATGTAAGGAATGTGTCGATTGCTTTCTGTTATCCGTGACAATTCCTCATCAACAAAGCCTTCCTCGTCTTCTTCGGCTAGCGACTTGTTCGGCTCGGGTTTGGGTTCGATAATGGCTTCTTGGATCGCTACATCCTCTTCTTTGATTTGATTTAATTCCAGTACTTTTTCCTCGAGACCTGGGGTTGCTGGCTCTTCAGTTGTCAGTGGTAAGCCCAGTGCGGCAGCAAACTCGGCTGTGGCACCACTCATGATATGTTTTGCAGATTCTTAATAAGCCAAAAAGTAAAAAGGGAAACAAGGGTCGGAAAGAAAATGTATCTTTGGAAAGAAACTAGCCAGTACATGATTTTATGATTAAAGCGGGAAAAACTCTACATTTTGTTTGCGTCTCTCTTTGGTTGGTGCGTCTGTTCTTGCTGAGTTAAACCGAAGTGAGCTAAGAAAACAACAGCTGCTAAAATACACTTTTTTAGCGCAATATATCCAGATATCATCATGGATCAAAGCATCATATACGCCACCTCCTCAGAAAAATTTAAAGGTCCAACAAGATGTGAAGATATTAATAGATAGGTGAATTTCTTGCATACATTATGAATGAAGAACTACCGTCGCACCTACTGTAACTGCATAATCGGGATACCACGGATAACGGATGAAGCAGTTTCGGATTTAGAATCTTGCAAATTTTACTATGATAACAAGATAAAGTTATATGATGGGTGTTCTGTATTCGTTCATTTCATGATGACTACGCTTTCTAAGGGAAACTTTCGAAAAAATGCTCGAAGTACATACCTCCACCGTTGAGGCGTAACGAAAGAATATAGTCTATATTGAAATTCCTGAAAAGGTGCTTATCGGACGCAAGCGCTATTGAATATGTCTCTAGCTTATACGTAGAAGTTGCAATAGCTCTGTCTTTCTCGCCAAGGATAGCGCTGTACATCGTCGCACTAGGCTTTTTCACCATTGATGCTCTGTTCCCAGAAGAAGAAAAATGGTATATATTCAAACTTCGTCAATGAGGAGAGTTTCTTAAACTCTGCGGTAAGCTTTGGCTGTAGCCTGTTCTTTTGACTGTGGAAGCAATACTTGCCATCGAATCTGATGTTGGGTGCTACAAAAAGAATTGTTGCTAGGTCTCGATGACATGTAGTGGTAGTAATAAAAGCTTTATTTTCTTCGCTCAAGCATGAAAGCGAGGGTCAATCCTGCCTAATAAAATTGGCGTACAACCTACAGCGATATTTTAAGATATTCAGTATGAAGCATTACTTACCAGCACCTTCTTTCAGGTTACGGACTCTATAGAGATTCGGCCCTGTAAGTCATTTCAGTATAAAGGAGGCTCTTGGAAAACTCAAGAATATACTTGGTAATATTGCAGAAAAAAAGAACAAGAAGTCAATACAGTACCCGCTCGTTAAACCGATCACCTCTGTTTTTCGAGAAAGTGATCGGTTTAACGAATGATCGGTTTAAAGATCGAGGGTCCGCCATGTGAGATATAGAACTCGCTGGAAGGATCACCTTATGATGTTACACTATTACATGTAATGTTTATATACATTTCAGGCTGGGATGCTAGTTGTTGAGGGGGAAGAAGAAGAAGAAGAACAGGAAGACGTCAAATAGGTGATAGCGAAGATGAAACAAAAATACCAGCAATTGGAGGTAGACGATCTTCCTATCCTATTACTGTTGAGCCATTGAGAATTTGGACATCTGTGAAGAGAAGAATCAGGTCTTTGAAATTGATGCAATCTCATATCACCAATTTCACCAATTAAGCTATCATTAAATATTGTGCACTGTAATGAGTTGAAGAAACAGAGGCAAGTATGTAGAGTGCTGTTCAATATCAAATCCTGTTGGCGCCAACCTGAAATAACACAGTGAAGCATGGTAAGTTATTAGTTTTATTGACAAATCAGAAAGTAGTACACAGTGCTTTGTGCCTGGTTACTGAATGTGGAACACCTGTTGTAGCTAGTTGTAATTGTACGCCAGGCGGCAGAGACATGCGGCGTGTCAATATCTGTTTGCTTTTCTCGAGTTTCTATACTCCTCTGATTTATGCGAGTCTCGCTTTTTTCAGTTGCGAAAACTGGGGTCTTACTGCACTCTATGCGCTATTATTCAAAAAAAGAAATCATGGACCCATATACTATTTTTAAAGCGGAAGTGACGTACACTTGATACATTTCGTCACCATTGATTATGATTTCGCTTGATCAGCTATAGTATACGGAACACCAATGTTTGTTATGCATAGAACGTATAGCATTCACAAATTTAAAGCTGCTTGGACCTGAGAAGCATGTATGCAGGTATTAAAACCTGCTTAGCATGCTCTCTGTGCTACCACGACATCATTTATCCATTGACAGTGTGACGATGACTTGTAGGCTTTTGTGTGGAAAGCCTCACTCGATCAAAGGGCGTGTAGAGGATTCTATCCGCGCACTGATTCAAACGCCTTTTATAAAAAAAGATTGTGAACGTTTAAAATGGTTATACAGGAAGTCAAGGATAAATCAGGAAATGAAGAAGCGCGGATATGCTCTTTTGGTTTTATTTATTGCTTCTTGAGCTCCTCGACTAAAGCAATGTACTCCTTCTCGGCGTCTTCCTGGCTCTTGCCTTAAAATAATTCACAGAAAACAAATGTCAGTCCACTTTTTCTTCCCTGATTTCCCCTATCCTGTTCCTCGCTTGCTTGCTTGCTTACCCTTCAGATCTTCCCAGGCTTGCCACTTGTACTTGCCCTTGAGGTCGAACATACCAGGCTTGGCTAAACAGTTCGTAACAGTATGATTAGACCATGAGCTAGACTTCCCTAGGTATCAAATAAACTTACGGGTATCGTTGTCGCCAACGTTTGCCTGCTTGAACAAACCGTAGAGCTTCAACAAGACGTCGTCCGAGGGCTTGCTGGGAAGAACCTTGACTTCTTCAGCAGCTTTGGAAAATTCCTACAATGGAAATGCTCGCAGTAAGTACACATACAGGTTGGTGGGATTTGGCAAGCATTTGAGCTAAATTAAGAGAACTTACAGCAGAGGGCATTTTTTGGGATGTAAAGATGGTTAATGAAGAAAAGAAAACAAGTTGGCTGGCGCCTGACTTTTTTTATACGCAACCTCCAAGCTCCAGAGGACGGAGACTGTAACACAAGCAGGGTCCCGTTGGGTACATATTCATGGTTGGTCACATCAAACACCCAACAAAATACGCTTTCTTTTGCCTTTCCAACCATCTTTTTCAGCAAAAGAAGTATTTTAAAGAGGCAAATCATTGTTAGATCTTCTATACATTGTTATGTGTGTGGGCATCATCGTGCCAACGAGGATATCGTGTCATCACTTACGACTACGGTTTAGCTGCTACACCACCCGGGCTTTATTTTACATGTGAAGATTTTTCACGCGAGTTGGTCTCCGCTTAGAAAGTGCACGCGGCACCCTGCCCAACAGCTGTGTAGCATTTTGCATATGGTCCATCAATCCGATTAGATTTGCATGGTGTCGTCAGTGAAGTAGTAGGTGTGAGCGTTTATATAAAGCAGTGGTATGCTATGACTGAGCAAGAACAGCTTCGAATTAAGGCAAGATTACCATTTATCTCAAATTTCTCATGTTTGCATGTATCCTAGTAGTCTTGTAACTCAAAGGTTCATATAATAACAAGTTTCAATCTCCCAATTTAATTCACTTTGACTGGCAGCACAGTAACAGTAGTCAAGGTACAGCGATTATGAGCAATACCAAGTCATTTACAGTAGCATACTCTTTTCTTTCGGAGCAGCAGCTGGATCGCTCGAGAGAAATTAAGCACGCGTTTGTGTACCCAAACGTGAGGAAGTTACAGTTGTACCCCGGTTTTTGCAACCCCCGGGTTTGCAATTCCTCGTATATCTGCAACTTTTTTTGAAAAATTCAAAAAAAACTTAGTAGTTTCGCAAATTTGCAACTTGCAAATGAGTTTATACGATTTGCACGTTATCGGGGTAAAAACAGCTTCAATTTTTGCAATATCAACTGAAAGAAGCATCTGTTGCGGATTATGAGGAATAAAATGATACGGTTACTGCAAGATAAATATGTAAATATGAAGATGTATTTATTGTCGAAATAAAAATTATTACTTGGTAGTTGAGCCAGTAGAATCGGGACACATATATAGCACTGATTGGGTTGAATCAACAAAAGAAATGAAGAAGATATAAGAAAAAGTGAACACACTACATATAGATATAGAAATAAAATGTTTGCTCAAATGAGCTTTCAACTACATACATCGAAGAAGTCATCAAGGGATGATTGTCGGGAGAATGATTGCTGCCTGAGACTCTCTTGAATCCTTCGCAAAGACTTCTTTAAGTCGCAGTCATCGATATTATCCAAAAAGCTCAAAACTCCTGCAATTGCAACCTGTTTTTCTTTCGACGTTGGCCCTGGAATAGGCGAATCAGCGCTTTCGTCCACCGCCCGCTCAAGTGCTCGTCGTAGGTTCGATCCTCTTGCTTAGAGGTGAACTTGTGGAACGATTTTGTCATGCTTAAAAGAGCTAATAATTATCAAACCACTAGACAGCTTAATAAAAGAACGGTCTTATATATGCAAGTAGTAACATTTAGAGCTGTATGAATGTTTCCACAGAACGTATCGTACATAATCTCTGACAGATAAACAATGGGCTAGTGTTAATAGGATGACTTATCCAGTGTCTATTTGAAGCAGAATTGTTTACCCCGTTACTTGCAAATCCTCACTTTTTGCAAAAAAAAATCGGAAAACCCTCGGTTGCAAAAACCGGGGTACAACTGTATAAGTACTAAAGGTACTTGATATAGCACCAAGTTTAACTATAGGAAAAGAGCTAAAGTATACATAAGTTTTAAATGGCTCGTATGAATACAAAGAATTTGATCCACGTATGTCATAAAAGAGAGCCGTATGTGATGAAAGTAATGATGACAGCGATGGTGTTAGAAGTAGCTATCAGCACATAGGTAATGGTAAATGCATATATTCGATATTAAAGGTCGTATCAAATGAATTATCCCTGTAAGGTACTAGTGTACTATCTTGGAATATAGTAAATGGGTACCAAGGGATTTTGTCTGCAACAGTGGTACACTTATCACAAAGACAGAAAGTAAGCAGTCAGCAGTGACCTACACCCGGCCTTCAGACCCGAAGGAGGAATCTGAAATAAATGGTGACGAGTTAGACGGGTTGCGTGGATGAGCCCAATATACAAAGGTAGCAACTAATACAAGGCCCAGTCAGGCATTTTTGTGCTGTGATAAGGCGAGCTAGACTGCAGAGATAATGTATACAGGGTAACATTGGGCGTGACAATGTAAAGTTTCCGACAGTCTGAAGAAGATTAAAATGGCCTCCAAAAGATTTGTGCCAGGGGGGTGTTTCAAAAACTCGTTTTTCGCAGACGATATAAAAGCCAAAATGGCCTCGTTGGAGATCGCCTTGGACATCATCGTTCCGCGCAGGTTGTTCAGTGATGTATGTAATCTTCTTTTCTGTCCTCTGATGACATGTAACACTTACCTTCAGCTAATACAGCTGTTTTTATCCATAGTTTTGTACAACTGCTTCCCAATGCCGATCCACATTAGTAACAGCGGATTATGCTTCTGTTAGCAAATACGTTTATAATGTCATTGAAAAGTCGCGTTATCTTACTAATATTTACATGATGATTGTATCTATTTTACACGTTATTGTTGCATCACCGTGTCTGTGTGTGATGCCTGGCATTCCATAGCTTTACTCGTCCAATCATACCAGTAAGAATGACCGATTTTGAAACACGATACTCGCCGAGTGATATCACACATGCTTCACCGCTGAACGTGGGTTAAAGAGAGGAGTTCAATAGCTTTGAGCCTATTAAGGTTATACCTGTATCCATTGCCCTAGCTTATTTAAAACAAGTAATAAACTAAAATCTACGAAGACAGCAGCATTAATAAATATATAGCTAGATGATCTTCAGCATGGTCAAAGCTTTACGATATCCACCAATTGATGAGCAGCTTTAAGGACAAGGATTTCTGTGGTACCAGCTATTGGCGACGTCTGTGCGAGATAGTGCTGCAACAGGAAAAGTAGCGGGCAAGACAAAGTGGGATGTCATTTTACAGCCAGCAAGAAGCATTTGAAAGGTTGCGAGATTCTGACACGGCCGATCAATATGTAAAATCACCTGAAGATGCAGTGGGTTGGGAAGCTGATGAGAATAACGACTAGCCATTTTTAGCAGTGGTGAATGATTTTGTTTGAAAAAACGAAGTTGGGAAGATACGTTTTATAGAGTTAGAGAAGAGGGCGATTACCTATACAAAAAGTCACAAAGGCTCACTACAAGTGTTCGAAACAGGAAAACCCTGTGGTGAACCAAAGGAAGCCCTTAGACAATGATGTTCTTTAAGAAGTCACTCTACCCATCCACCGTTAATTTAGAATCTTTGTGTAACAATGATCGCGTCTCTGGGGTTGAACCATTTCCGGAAGTTAACAATTATATAATCGTCCTGTGCCCGAAATCTGCAGTGTTTAAATACTGCTGCTCATACATGGACTTTTCTCTCTCTTCACCCTCTCTCTCTACACCTTAAAACAATGTCAGATACGATCGAGCCTTTTGAAGTTCCATCCTTTCCATCAGAACAGCTTGCGCTACTTAAAGACAAATTAAGTAAACCCGTGTATCCGAACGAGCTCGAGGAAGATTACAAGTGGGATTATGGTGCTCCGAGCTGGGCTGTCAAGTCTTTGGCTAGCAAATGGCTTGAGAACTATGACTGGGAAAAGCCGCGCGCCGAAATGAACCGATGGCATCACTATCATACAATGATCGATGACTTGAAGATCCACTTTATACATGAACCTTCGTCAAACCCTGATGCTATACCTGTTATGCTTGTTCACGGCTGGCCGTCGACATTTTATGAATTTCACAAGCTTATCGAACCACTCCGTGATGGTGCCAATGGCGGGCAGGTAGGGCACTCGACTTTTTTAAATTATGTATACAGCTATCACTATAGCAAGAAGCATTCCTTGAATAAAGTAATTTTTAGGCGTTCCATGTTGTTGTTCCAAGCTTGCCTGGTTTCGGCTTTTCAGAAGCACCCAAGGCACGCGGATGTGGTGTGACAAAAATGGCGGAGATTCTAAACGCGCTAATGGTCAAATTGGGATATACACAATACCGTAAGTGAAGTAGAGTAAGTAGAAAAGTAGTAGTAGTTATAGTAAAATAAGAAGCGATACTAACGGTAATAACAACGAACGGGTTGCTTTAAAAAGTCCACCACGGGGGCGACTGGGGGGCGATTATTGGTAAATACATTGCTACACGTTACAATACCAACTGCAAAGCCTTCCATACTGGTCTACCTTTCTGTCTCCCACCACTTCCGACTCCGCGTAACCTGTTGTTCTATCCATTCAAAATCGCCAAGTTTGGTGCAAGTTTGTTGCTTGGATTTGACCGCGTGTACGGTAAAGGCAAAACTATTCTGAACGGTGCAACATTTGCCAATGCCGAGATGTATGATGGATGTGGATACAGAGCTATTCAGGGTACAAAGCCATATACGCTGGCATATGGATTGACGGACAGTCCGTTAGGGCTGATGGCATGGATGCTAGAAAAATACCACGAATGGTCGTATCATCCACCTGCCAAACGTGATATTCAAGCTCTACCCGAGACAATCACTCCCGAAGTCTTCCTGACACAGGTCTCGCTCTACTGGCTCACTAATACCATGTCGTCATCGATCCGTATCTACTATGAGTGCCTGCGTCAAAAGGAAATGCTCAAAGTTGTACTCCCACGTGTCAAGATTCCCGTTGCGATATCTGCTTTTGCATACGATATCTCCAAGGTAAGAGGGTTATGCTACAGTTCTACTATTGTGAATGGTTACTGATCCTTTATACTGTGTAGCTACCGCAAGACTGGCTCGAAACAGCCACGGATCTTCATCAGTATTCTGAATATGAATCTGTAAGTTCGAATCATTGCCACGAGAGTGATTTTCTCACTAACAAATGGATAAATACAACACATTTCAGGGAGGACATTTCCCTGGATTAGAGGAGGCGGAATTGTTGACTGATGACATCCAGAGATTCGGAAAGGTCTTGAAAACCAAGAAAGTCATCCAGTAGATCGTATACGGCTATAATCTTTTTAAAAAATCTTTTCTACAAGGTCATCTATCAAAATCAACGTGATTTAATGCACAGCGAGTTAAAGAATTTCAGAGTAGATTGTATAGTAGCTAACATTGGATAGTGTCGTGATTGCGTATATGTGTGTTATCTTTGGTAAACGCACGATGATCACTACTGACTAAGCAGCATGTCAGTGTCCTTTCAGACTTGTACAGTAAATGGCATGACAAGGCTTAAACATACATAGCCCATTTTAAATCAAGATTATGAGCACGTCTATATCTACTCTTCGTTAAAAACACATACTGTATCGTCAAGGATATACAGATGATCTGATTTTTTTAAATATAAATACCATTTTTTTCCTGCAACAAAATATCTTAAATCTTGTACCATCAAAGGTACAAGCCAGGTTGCCATAATCACTATTATTTTTTTCTGCTTCAAAATAACATCATCATACGCTACATAATATTTGGTCGCCGTAACAACGTCATCAAGCTCTTTCCTGCAGTGGATGCTTTGCAAAACGATTTTTTTCGACAGCAAACAAGATATACGTTTTCCCATTTTATTGTCGAAACGCCCGATCCAGCTGCAAAGATGGTTGTTATCCAACAGTTTTGCGTTTTAGGCATAGTCAGATTCGCAATCTATAATTATTATCAATTATCAGCATACTTATCCTTGCAGTGTGTTAGCATCGGCGCGTCATTTGTTATGGTGGCAGTACAACTTGTACTTGATACATAATACTAAGATAAGCGGCAAAAAATGCATATCTTTAGGCCTATATACTATATGTATACTGAATTATACAAAACCGGTGATATTGATCGAGAACTCCGTTGGCCTCCAGCGATTTTAAAGGCTCCAGAAACAGCAAAAAAAAATGAAAGAACATGTGCTTTGATAAGTGGATTGCCTTTCACATCAGCTCACCACATCTTGTACAGGATTTGCGCACGTGCATCGGCATAATGCTGGATATAATTTAATCGAACGTTTGACAAGATCTTGAAGGGTAAATGAATAGCACGAAATTTATGATTGACAGTGTATAATGGTATATTAAAGGCTCCAGGGTGATCATTTATTTTGATATACAAACAGTTTCATCTTCCTGTTCGCTGAACTCCTTTTCCTTCTCTTCTTCCCACCGATCTACCCCATAGGCAGTTGCACAACTCATGCAAATCCTATTTCCAACCCTGGCTTTAACAGCCCTCTCTTGCTGGAATGTGCTAGTGTTACCTGCGTACGGACAGTACCTGCATGAAATTGACTGGGTCAAGCGTCACCTAGCAACAAAATCCCCCTATCCGGTTCCTGACAGCGCCACTACTGATGCAGTCATCCGAGGCTATACGCTAGAGCAGCTCCAGCTTGTGGTGCGACATGGAAGAAGATATCCATCCGACGGTGATACCGAAGACATTGGCAAGGTACTCAAGAAACTCCAGCAGAGCAACAACAGGACGGCTCTTGACTGGCTCGACAACTATGAAAATGTGTACACTCCCGAACGGTCTGGATCGTTAGATGAAAACGGACAGCTCGAACAATATCTCCACGGCCGTCGAGTTGCCAAGCGCTTTCCAAAACTGATTGATGCAATTTTCGATCAAGACGTTCCTTCCGGCATTGACAGCGCTTCTTCGGAATCGGCTCGCACATTGCAATCTGCAACGGCTTTCCACATGGGTTTGTTTGAAGGTCAAGGCGCCCTTGGTAGATCCAAACAGTTCGCGGTTCCATCTTTTATGTATCCGACCCAGGGTGACAAGCTCATTAGTATCGACGACAATTGTCCCCGGTGGGACCTTGCAAGAGAAAACAGCAATGTCCAGTCTGACTTGTATGGAGCACAGACCCAGACGGTGACGGCCCAGCGGTTGTCAGAAGCATTTGGCGTTTATTTAACGGCCGATGATGTTGAGGCTATTTACAGTGGTTGTTGCTTTGATGTCGCCCACCGCAACCGACCTGATACCTTTTGCTCGTTACTTAGTCGTCAAGAAATTCTTGAGGCCGAGTATCGCGAAGATTTGAGTTACTTTTATAAGTACTCGTATGGCGGGTTGCCCTTGAACGGCCAGGTCGCGTGCGCGCTCATGCAAAGCATCATGAACCATATCGAAAATGAAGATACTCGTTTGGTTTTGAAGGTCGGTCATACTCAAACGGTGCTCTTTCTTCAGACCTTCTTGGGTGTCAGCCAGAACAAGCAAATGCTTTATGCCAACTCATCTCAATCCGTCATCGACCAGCGTGTTTTTCGTACCTCAAATATCGCCACGATGGCGTCTAATGTCGAATTCCAGCTCCTCAGCAAAGGTGAAAATCGATTTGTGCGTGTTCTTGTTTCCGAGATACCCGTGTTAGTGCCAGGCTGCAAAGGCGAAGAAATCTGTCCGTTACAGACATTCAAGGAGGCTTTATCACCCAAAATCAAATGCGACTTTGATGAAGTCTGCCAGGGATAACTGCTTTCTAGAATAGTGTATGCTGTATTCATATGCTATGTTACTTATGCCAATATTAGAGGATCGACAAAATGATGTAGTACATTATATGGCACCCCTCTTATTTGTTTGCTCTTACACCATCATACGCTTTGATTTATATATTACATATTGTAGCATATAATATTACTACTGCTTTCAGTTTAAATTTCCTCTGACCCTAATTATAATTTTAAACTTTGTGCCATGCATATAATACTATGCAGTACGGCGCTCAACAAACTTGCTGCTCGAGGATACACTGCGATTCCAATAGGTGCAGAAAAGCGCAACTAGCATAATCATACTAAGAAGGTATGTACTTCTAAAACATAGTGATCGATGCGTTCTCATTACCTTGACGAAAAGCATGTTTAGCATCTGCATAGTGTTCTTGCAAAGTTGCAATCATCTTTGACTCTTGTTCCTGAAAAGTAGTTATGCGTCCTCCTTACAGTATCACATCAAGAAAAGAAAGGAACTAACGGGTATTATAAGCAATTCATAGTGTATGTGTCTTACTCCTTACTCAAAGAAATTCTGCAGAACTAAATTCTAGAGTGGCAGCAGATGGCAAGTACGTTTTGCTGTTACAGTCGAATTAGCAACACGTAATACTCATTTAAAAAGGACACTGAAAATTAAATGCAATGGATTTATGTTTTGACTATAAAGCAATATATATCAGTAGAGAACTAGGCTCTATGTGTAAGTGCTAGTAAAATCATAAATTATTGGCATCCATGATGTTCCGCTTGCCTCTGCTGTGAGTTGCTCACCTTTGAAAAATATCAAGGGCCAGTAGACTACACAATATGCGTAGCAAAGTATGCGCCAAACCATTCCCTCGCAACATAACCTACACAGAGGAAAGATGCAGACACACAGAGCTCCAGCAAAACGCCCCGCATAAAGGAGTTGATTGGGAATAGCTCCGAACGACAGTTTGGGGAGCAGTGAGATATTGGGGGAAAGGCGATACGTCACTATTTAAAGCCTATGAGTTTACCTCATCAAAAAAACCGTAGAATCTTCTCTTCAATCGCCACGATGCTTTTATATACCACCTACCCAATATTGAAACTTTTTGTTGGTATTATTACCCTTATTATCACGCAGAAAGCAACAGCATTGCCTCCACATGTGCATGATATCAACAATCTTCGCCGACATCTTGCAACTAAGACACCATATATTGCCGATCCAAAGCCGCCAGTAGACACTATTGGTGAGCATTATGATGTTCGACAGTTCCTCATGGTGAGCCGACATGGTACACGTTATCCTTCGGTAGGCGATTCGGAGGATATTGCCCGGATCATTGCACACCTCAAAACAAGCCAGAACAAAGCAGCAGTTGGATGGCTTGCAGCATACGATAATGTGTATCCCGTGCGTCGTGGAAAAGAACTCGATCGAAATGGCATGCGTGAGGTATACGACTACGGGCATCGAATGGCACGCAGTCATCCCGGACTTATCGAAGAGATACTGGACGATGATGTTTTTCTGTACTATTCCTCACTCGCATCGTGGTCCAAACGCACTGCTCAATCGGCCATTGGTTTCCAGACCGGTCTTTTTGAAGAACATCACAACAGTTTGTTGGACATCGATCTTTTGGGTAGTGGCAGGAACAATCAGCTTTTCGCTCCGCTTCAAACGTTGTTCTTTGAAAACGGAACTAGCGTTGCTCAGGCAGATATATGCAGTCGGTGGAAGACAGAAGTGGAAGCGAATCCCGGTACGATGGCTGAAGCAAACGAATATAAGACTATCCATGTTGGCAAGATAGCTGCACGACTTTCTCGAGAACTCGGTATAACCATGACAACAGATGATGTCGAAGCGGTTTACACTGGCTGTAAATTCGATATCACTCACAGAAACCGCATTGACACCTTTTGCACTCTCCTGGCCCACGAGGATATCTCAGTCTTAGAGTACCGTCAAGATCTGGAGTACTACTACATGTATTCATACGGAACAGAGACTAACGCCAATATGGCGTGTGTACTAATTCAGAGCGTCATGGAAAATATGGAGAATGCCGTTGGCGGAAAGGAGGATTATACCCGGATGGACATCAAGTACCTGCATTCGGAATCGGTCTTTTTCGTCGCAACATTTTTAGGTCTATACAAGGATGATCAAAAACTACGGGCAGATTGGAGTCAGCAAGAAATCAACGACCGCAAGT